TGGGGACATTGGGGACATTGGGGACATTAGGGACAATGGGGACAATGGGGACAATGGGGACATTGGGGACATCGGGGACATTGGGGACAATGGGGACACTCCCAGGACATGGGGACACCCCCAGGACATGGGGACAGGGCAGGGGACATCCCCAGGACGTGGGGACAGGGCAGGGGACACCCCCAGGACATGGGGACACCCCCAGGACATGGGGACACTCCCAGGACAGGGGGACACCCCCAGGACAGGAGGACACGGCAGGGGACACCTTGGGGACATGGGGACACCCCCAGGATGTGGGAACAGGGCAGGGGACACCCCCAGGATGTGGGGACACTCCCAGGACAGGGGGACACCCCCAGGACAGGAGGACACGGCAGGGGACACCTTGGGGACATGGGGACACCCCCAGGATGTGGGGACACCCCCAGGACAGGGGGACAGGGCAGGGGACACCCCCAGGACACGGGGACAGGGCAGGGGACACCTTGGGGACATGGGGACACCCCCAGGGGGGGTGACAGCTCACCTGGGGCTGGGGGTCAGACCAGAGCAGGTCACACATCGGCCCTGGGTGGGGGGACACAGGGGAGGTCACAGCTCAGCCCCTCACCTTGGGGACACCTTGGGGACACCTTGGGGACATCCCGGGGGGGGGGTCCCCGTCCCACCTGAGTCCGGGGGCTGCCGGTTCCGCTCGATCTTGCGGATGTCATCGAGGGTCACCCCGTCCTCGCTGAAGAGCCCCCCGTGCATGATCTGGGTGGGGACACACCGTGGGGACGTTGGGGACAGCAGGGACAGGGGGACAGGGACGGGGGGGGTCAAAGCCCCCCATTTTTCAGTGGCTGCCAAAAAGGGATCCACTACTGCAAAGCACAGCTGCCAGATAGCGAGCCAAAAGGGCTGCCAAATTGTGATCTATTGAAATCAACGGGGCTGCCAGATAGCGAGCCGGCCCCCCCCTGCCAAATAGCGATCAATTTAAATCAACGGGGCTGCCAGATAGTGAGCCGGCCTCCCCCCCGCCAAATTGGGATCTATTAAAATCAACGGGGCTGCTAGACAGTGAGCCGACCCCCCTGCCAAATTGTGATCTATTGAAATCAACGGGTCTGCCAGATAGTGAGCCAGACCCCCCTGCCAAATAGCGATCTATTGAAATCAACGGGGCTGCCAGATAGTGAGCCGGCCTCCCCCCCGCCAAATTGTGATCTATTAAAATCAACGGGGCTGCTAGACAGTGAGCCGACCCCCCTGCCAAATAGCGACGTATTAAAATCAACGGGGCTGCCAGATAGTGAGCCGGCCCCCCCTGCCAAATAGCGATCAATTAAAATCAACGGGGCTGCCAGATAGAGAGCCAGCCCCCCCTGCCAAATAGCGATCCATTGAAATCAACGGGGATCCCCAACCCCAATGGACAGGGATGTCCCCAACCCCAATGGGACAGGACAGAGATGTCCCCAACCCAATGGGACAGGACAGGGATGTCCCCAACCCCAAGGGACAGGACAGGGATGTCCCCAACCCCAAGGGACAGGGATGTCCCCAACCACAGTGGGACAGGACAGGGATGTCCCCAACCCCAAAGGGACAGGGATGTCCCCAACCCCAAGGGACAGGCACGGGACAGCGACAAAATCTCCCCAAGACCTGCCAGAAAGTGACCTATCCCCTACAACAAGCGCTGCCAGATAGTGATCCATCAGCAACAATTGGGGACAACTGGGGACAACAAGAGGGGACAGCTGTGGGGACAGGACCCCCCCAGCCCCGGGCAGGGGGGCCCAGGCCTCGCCCCCCCAGGCCCTGGCCCTACCTCGGAGCAGGTGGAAGTGGTCAGGGTAGAGCAGCTTGAAGCCAAAGAGCGTCAGGATGACCTCGACCGAGAAGGAGCCGCGGTCCACGAAGTCCCCGTTGAAAATCTGTCACCAGCTGAGGACAACGACACCCCCGGAGTGTCCCCGGTGTCCCCCCCAGACCCCCCCTGCCCCAC